CTGTTCGCCCAAAAACAGAATTGCAATAATTATCCTTCAAATAATCACGACCTTCAAAATTCATCGGATATTTTTCTCAAGCTTCTCCGCAATGAAACAAGCGTATCAAGTTGCGCAGAAAAATTCCTCCTACTGCGCACTCGAAATTATTTTCGAGCCTGCAAAACTTGACACCTTCATTTGTTTACAACAAAGCTTTCGGTAAATATCCGACAATTTCAAAGGTCTCGGGGTATTACAACTGATAAGGTATCGCTCAAGTGGGGTATACTGCACATAATTTCTGGAGAGCTCGACGAGAGCTTTCTAATATTAGCTATTGAAGTACTTGATCACCGTTCTGGATGCTATATATTAGTATGAATTCTCCATGCCCATTGTTATTCAAGTTATTTCGAGGTTGATACCCGTCATGTTCGATTACCATGCTCGATTCAATCCTCCGCCCATCCCTTTCTTCAGTAGTGATGATACTTGAATTCATCGAATCAGTCATGGTATTGTATATTCCTTCAAATATCACACTTGGAGAGAAGTGAAATCGACACTTTAGACTTTTTTTTAAATATTCATAGTCGAAAAAAGAAATGATAATTCATGAACAAGTTGGTACTGATTTCAAGGAGATTGTCATTAAATTCTATTTAGCTGGAAATGCCTAATAAAATTTCAGGTTACAGCTGAGAATTCAAGTGAATTCATAAATTCTAAGGAGAAATAAAATGGAAATTTCACAACTTCCGTGAATTTTTCATTGAAAATGAATAGTCAGTATCAAATTAAGAAGAGTTTTCAATTAATCAAAAAATTAGAAAATATATCCATTTGAGATTTCATGCTTGCTGATTTTCTTGCATCCTATCAACAATTTAATTAGTTATGGATAGTTAACCAAATTGTGCCCAAACTCTGTGTATGTATTAAACAAATACTCTGCGTATTCACACTGAGAAAAAAAAGTTTTCTGAGGAGTACGTCTTTACATATATCAAGACATTCATCACTCGAAAATTTTCATGAGCAACAAATCTTACACTGAGAAAGAAAAAACTCTCGTCAAGAGATTTTGTACTTGCCCTAAAGACGAGAACAATTTGTTTATGACAAGAAAATAATTTTTCAAACCAAATTAAGCCGAATTCATTCAAGTAATAGTTTTTTAGCCTCAAATTCAAAATATTTTAATATAAAAACTACTTGACTGGGTTTGAAAACTCGTTTTCTTGTTATGAACCAATTGCCCTCATCTTTCAGATAATTAAAAAATTTCTTGACTAAAGTTTTTTCTGTGTGGAATATTTTGCTCGGGAAGATTCTCAAGCCATGAGTTTCTTGATGCAAGTAAAGCCGTATTTCTCCAAAAACTTTTTTTTCTCAGTGCACCTTCTTATAAAAATGCATGATTTTTTAAGATTTTTTAATCTCAAGTTTCGGCCGTAAATGATTCATTTTTTATGCATAAACATTACAAATATTGCTCGTTAATTAATAATTGATTGACGAAAGTTGAAGATTTCAACTGCTTCGGAATCCTTAATGACGTGAGAAGGGTGGTGGAACGCTGGACCAATCACAGAATGACGAGGGCCAACTTAACCCTATCTTCACCTGTCTTATCCAATAGATGATGGCAATTCTCCTCACATTTGATCAACAGAGCGCTAACCAGCATTGCTTATGCGACTTTGTGACGTGATGACCGCAATAATAGATTTCAAAAACGTCTGATCTTCAATCAATTATTATAAAAAATCTAGGCAATATTTTTCCATAATTCTTTTCGTTTAGCTCTCTATGGGTTATCTCGAATGGGTGAATAGGGGAATTAGGGAAAACTGAGCTTCATGCAAGTTCCCCATTGTGATTATTACAGTGTTGAATTCATTTGCCGAAAATCTATCATTAGAAATATAATTGAAGTTTATCAAGTTATGGTTTATGAAAAGCTGAGAATGGATTATCTGATGTCTGCTCTTAAAAATAGCTCCCGTTCCATTAGAATTTCATCTACATGGAGAAAATATGTTATTTTTTACTATGTGAACATAGTAATCGAGGACCATACTCCCCACTCAAAATTTACTGTTGAACATAGTAAAAATTGCGAGTCGGTATAGTAGAAAGTGGTAAAATAAAAGTAGAATTTAATCCGACACGAGTAAAAATTCGGTCAAGATAAATCAAATTTTAAAATTGTTTTGCTCATATCGTAATTTTTAATTTTATACTCTCTGCGTGCATCGTCAACGAAAGTTTGACTCTTAACTTTGGATTCTTTTCTGCATTCGATGATATTGTCATTACCTTTCAATCAATTGCAACATTTCACATATATGCATGTCTTTCAGAGTACTTACACGTTGAATGTTGCATTGTTGAATGTTGAATTTTTTACACAGAAGTGCGTTACGTATAAGGAAATCAACAATTCGATATTAAATTTTTGCCTGAATTTTCCGTTTCAAATTCCAGAAATTTTTATCGAGGGATATTTCCATTGAAATTTCAAAAAATCTCGTTGTTGAAAAATCAAGTATCCCATTTATTTTGAAATAATTCCATCAGAGAACGAATGAAAAGTTATGGTTTAATTATACCGTAAAAATGATGAAATATCATAAAAATTCAGGGTCTGAATAATCACATCTAATTAAAAATTCAAGTAAATTGTGAAATTTCCGTCCTATTTTTACGGAAACTTATCAGTTTCCTTGAATTCCATCTAAAATTGTAATTTCACAATCTCATTTACCCTATGTAGAATTTAATATAACTTTTTTTAACACGAGATGGGAACCCTAAATATGAGTAAAACGCCGCAGAGCATCGTTTTCATTTAATTGCCCGAAATAAACCAAGATTTTCAGCGAGTCAAGTTTTCAAAAAGATTTTATTAATTTAGTGGTGTAAGTCTGTACTAAAGAACACTGATATTGTTTTCAGTATGTGTGAAAGTAGGAATACAAATTTTTATGAATTTTTCAGTCACAAAGTTTTAGTACAAAAAGAAAAAATTGAAAAACGGCAGGGATTCCCTCCTTTTTTGTGACCGCTTATGGGTTCAATGAAATTACCCATTATACGGCGTTGCCGCTGTGAGGCCTAAATAAACGGCGGGGAATCCCCGCGAAGGTGATCAAGTCGCAGGGTCGTGAATGGTGACCAGATTAGAGTTAAAATTATTGTCAGAATGAAATGAAATTTCAATTTTTGTGCAAACAATGTATGTATAAGGGTGTCCCAAAACGGTTTTGGCATATCGTGAGGGTAGATCGGCGGGGTTATTTGAAAATGAAAGTTTTGCCTTCCACGCTTTGTTTCTGAGTTATTGAGAAAAAAAGGACAGCCAACCAAACGTTATTCCTCAATAGGGAGATCAATAACCCCTTTCCCATTTAAAACGGAGGGATGATGGCATTGAATATCCAATCGATTCCAATCAATTTCATTCCTCAATATTGAATGAGAGTGGAGCATATGAATTTTTTACGTTGACTCTGATTTTTAGGGCCACATTGAATTGCATTAGGAACCAAGTGGCTCTGACTCCGCGTTGAAATTCATTGTGGGTTTACTCCCGTGAACATGATGATAGAAGAACAATTTTTTTCAGATCATTGTGCATTAAATGCCCAATCGATTGCCATAATTTTTATTTCTGCAGCCGCAGTGCGAGAAGAGATATGAATTTAAAGAAAGAGAGCGATTTGCCGTGGATTTTTTCTTTTTTGACGAATAACACCTGAAGGATATTCAAGTATCTTTTACAGTTTGGTACAGATGACACTATAGATTCAACCATTTTCAATCAGCAAATTTCTCTATTAATTCCGTGAGAAGAAGTTGAAAAAATTTTGAATATTCAGGGTCATTCAAATTAAATTTTGCACAGAATTACTACTTTTTTAATAGGCAGATGGTAGGGTTTTTAAAGATTCGTTATGAATAAATGAATAATTGAAATTTTTCACACTTTCGAAAACCTAATTTTTTTAGGACCGAAATCGATTTCTGATAAAATTCGGAATATGAATAAATTTGTTAAGAGACTGAACAAATGACTTTTATGGTGAAAGATTGATTGTTTTCAAATTATTTGTAGAAAATGCGCGTAATTTTCCAAAATGCACTTTTTAAATTATTTACCGATCTTCCTCCAAAAGTTAATTTTCTAATTTTGTTTTCAGATTTTTTAAATGTTTTCTAACGGTTCAACATCCAGATTCAAATTCAAACCTGGAAAAGTTTAAATAATAAAATCATAGTAAAATGGCCAGAAACTTAGGGTCAAATGGGCTCAAATGAAAGCTTTGATGTTCGACAACTGAAGTAGATAAAAAAGCATTTCACTGTCAGAAATTTTTTGAAATTTCATAGAAAGTATTGTAAATCTCATGAGAGTGGCATTGAATGCGACTTAGGGAAAAAATGGTTATAAAATTTCAAGTTTCAAGTACAATCCACGGAAATTCACGAGTTTTCAGTGAGAGTGAAATAAAAATTCCACAACTTGATTGAATTTTCAGTGGAACAATTTTTCCCTGAAATTTCCTGATTTTTCAGAACTTCCACAGAATAATTGAACCGAAAAATCAAGCATTTTATCGATGTCCAGATCATTTAAACAGAAAATGAATGGAATATTTGTTTTTTTAATGACAAGATTTCTCGAAATTTCAGTGGAACATGAACACGATAAAAATTTCCGGAATTTGGCACGAAAAATTCAGGCGAAAATTTTCAACAGTGCACAGGGGAAAAATAGCCAAAGTCCTTGGACATCTTTAACACTGCACCAGAGACAAAAATTTCCTTACAGTTTTCGTCTCCAAATACCCCCCCCCCCTTCCCCTCCACACAATATGTCAATTTTGGCACACCCTGTATAATTGTCCAACATTCCGCCCTCAACAATCACTGACAACACCCCCCTCCCAGCCGTCCGCACATTCGTAAAACTCCTATAACTCTCGTATCCTCATGCACAACCGATGACTCACCTCAAGTTTGCTGCCATACTCCTCAGCGAGTGCCTCAGACTGCCTGGTGAGTTCCTGATTCCTCTCCAGCAGTGCTTTTCCCAACTCAGCAGCAAGCACGAGATCCTTCTCACTCTGCTTGAGGAGTTCATGTGGATCCCCAACGTCCTCATCTCTATCCAAAGCGTTTCTCCTGGTCTGGAGGTCAGAGATCATATCCTCAAGAGCATAAGGCTCCAACTGTCCCTCTTTCCTCGGCAACATATTCGCTGCACTCCACTCAAAACAGTTCCCTCTTATTCACAAAAACCAACGATTATTTTCAATCGTCGAACAGATGCACTAGCTATTGTTATCGATCCTACGTCAGGTGCATTCGATGACGTTAAACCGTCACTTCCCCCACCAAAAACTCAGGACAATTGGCCCGATCACCCATTACCTCAACAATAATTCAACACCTTTCATGTCACGCACTTCACTTTTTACCGACTAATTTCACTTTTAAAAATGTTAAACTAATTATTCAGCAGTTGTCAGTCGTTTGAAAAGTCCCCTGACACACTGGTACACTTATTTTCCTCAATGGAATCCCGATAAATTGTTTTCACGATCAATAACGACGATTAGAACTCGAGAAAAAGTGGTGAAAAACGGCCATAAAGTGGATTCAACATCTAGCAAACTGGTTTATCACTAACGTGTACCCACTAATGACATTTCAGTCTTCCCCCACGTTGAGTAGACACTGACATTGTGCCCACAGGCGATCCTTGACGCTCCGCACAGACACGTGTTCCGAATGTCCAAATTGCTAGAGCAAAAAGTTGAAACAACTTGAAATTTTTCAGCCTGCTTTGATGGTAGTAACCGGATCACGAGGCGATCTAGAGTTTTAATTTAACTCTTGTTCTGTTGTTGCTCCACGATGCACGGTCTAAATAGTGCATTTGTGTAATTTACGGTTCTGCTGAGATCAGTTGGCTCCGATAATCATACGCGTAACATTAATCAACTCTCGGCTTCGTTGCTGAAAAAAAAGTATGGGAATTTTTTTCCCTTTTTTTGGAGCACGCGAGTTTAACTGTAACTCGTGATCGATTGCGACATGTCACGGGGAGTCGATCGATATTCGAGGGAATTGTTGTTGTTTCGGCGCTCCGTAATGGGAGGGAGGAGAGGATACACTTGAGGGATGAGTCTGGTACCGTTTTCCTTTATCTCTGGACTTCGCAGAAGACAATTCAAACACTCACGCGATTTCCGAGCACAAATTTCCGGTTCTCAGTTCGCTCCGGGGTTCGGCATCACTGGGGGACGTCACGACACGTCCAGAGACGTTGAAATGATTTCTTATAATTTTTTTAACGGATTTTTCACATCTTGTTGGAGTTTCCCGCGGGTTAAAGTCGTTTTATTTTCACCTGTGCAACCCTCGCACGTTTGCAGTCCCAGGAGACAAAAGATTCCATCGCACACGAGTCGAGTGAGCGTCCCCAGTGCAGGTCTCGGTGAGTCACAAGCCCGGAAAATAAATATTACGGAATCGGTGAACGAGGAGAACACACAACACACGAGGGGAACTGGACGGGACGCGAGTGTGGAGTTGGGTTGGGACTCGTTTTCCTTTCTTCGGTGGTTTTTTTTTCCTCTCTCGGAGGTGTGTGTTTTGGTCGACTTGAGTTCGGTTTTGGTGCGCGCTTGGGGTTCAGTTTCACTGATTGTGAGACGGTGTGAAAGAGAGGGACTCGACGTACGTTCGCCGAGAGCTCGGGCTTGTGCACTGGAACGTTTTTACCTGTCGTGCACGGACTCCCCCACTTGGGACTATCCCCACTATCGGGAGCTCCCCACTTTGGGGAGCTGTTGGGGGATATTTTTTTTATGGCTCACACACACCTTCAGAGGGGGGAGGGGGTTAACACCTGAGGGAACCGGGAATTTTTGTTTTTTGTGCATTCACGTTTTATAAATTTATGGGGCTATTTCAAGTTTTGAGTGTTTCGATTTTAGGCATTCATTAGATTTGTATTTTATTAGTGCATTTTTATTTATTTGGGTTTTTCAGGAGTTTGCGTAATTAGAAATGGTTTTGCTTCCGAATGGATGCCTTGTTTTTAACCGATTTTTCGATTTTCCAATTTTGAGTGCAAATCAGTAGCAAAGTGGTAAAAGGAGCTAAGTGCATTAAAAAAATTTTGTTTGCATGAATCAGAACGAAATATTAATTTTCAAANCAAATTTCCGGTTCTCAGTTCGCTCCGGGGTTCGGCATCACTGGGGGACGTCACGACACGTCCAGAGACGTTGAAATGATTTCTTATAATTTTTTTAACGGATTTTTCACATCTTGTTGGAGTTTCCCGCGGGTTAAAGTCGTTTTATTTTCACCTGTGCAACCCTCGCACGTTTGCAGTCCCAGGAGACAAAAGATTCCATCGCACACGAGTCGAGTGAGCGTCCCCAGTGCAGGTCTCGGTGAGTCACAAGCCCGGAAAATAAATATTACGGAATCGGTGAACGAGGAGAACACACAACACACGAGGGGAACTGGACGGGACGCGAGTGTGGAGTTGGGTTGGGACTCGTTTTCCTTTCTTCGGTGGTTTTTTTTTCCTCTCTCGGAGGTGTGTGTTTTGGTCGACTTGAGTTCGGTTTTGGTGCGCGCTTGGGGTTCAGTTTCACTGATTGTGAGACGGTGTGAAAGAGAGGGACTCGACGTACGTTCGCCGAGAGCTCGGGCTTGTGCACTGGAACGTTTTTACCTGTCGTGCACGGACTCCCCCACTTGGGACTATCCCCACTATCGGGAGCTCCCCACTTTGGGGAGCTGTTGGGGGATATTTTTTTTATGGCTCACACACACCTTCAGAGGGGGGAGGGGGTTAACACCTGAGGGAACCGGGAATTTTTGTTTTTTGTGCATTCACGTTTTATAAATTTATGGGGCTATTTCAAGTTTTGAGTGTTTCGATTTTAGGCATTCATTAGATTTGTATTTTATTAGTGCATTTTTATTTATTTGGGTTTTTCAGGAGTTTGCGTAATTAGAAATGGTTTTGCTTCCGAATGGATGCCTTGTTTTTAACCGATTTTTCGATTTTCCAATTTTGAGTGCAAATCAGTAGCAAAGTGGTAAAAGGAGCTAAGTGCATTAAAAAAATTTTGTTTGCATGAATCAGAACGAAATATTAATTTTCAAATGGTAGGGGAGGGTAGGGTAAAACGGACACTTTTGACTTTTTTTGAAATATTCATGACGTGTTGAATTGTTCATGAAATGGAATAATTTTATTTTTCATCTGAAAAATAATGATTCCTCTTTGTGATGAGCTTAGACTGAGCTCAATTGATGAATCTGTTTCTGAGTTATGAATATTTTTCAAAAAGTCAAAAGTGTCAAAACTCAAAATTCAATGTAAAATACCTCGTCATAGAAATTCTACTCGCAAGCAAATTGCTAATTTGTTAGCAAAAATATATTCACTATATTGTGAAGAAAGCAATTTCCCACTTGTTGAATGATGGAATGAAAATTTTGTGGATCACTGCAATTGTATTAATCATTTTTTAATGGTTCTGTTATTCTTTTTTTATGTTCCTTCATTATTATCTTATCAAATTGCAGATTCATTGATTTATAGAAATGAAGGTTGATGAGGATTAGTGTCGTATTAATCATTAGTCATAAATGCTAGGGAATTTAAAAACTCCAAAAGGAAGTTTTTGGCGATGGCTCATTATTTTGCAAATATTGAGAAAAGAAACACGTTTCCGACAATTGGTCATAAAACCTTTTTCATAGTTCTGAATATTTCCTACAAAAAAGGTCTTTTGATAAACTTCGGTAAACTTTTTCACTCCCGAGATATTTGCGGAAACATTTTTTGGGGTGGGTTTAAAATTTCAATTGCATTTATTCCTGATTGTTATTATTCAAGAGAAGAGTTTGCCAATCAACATCCACAATAAAAGTGTTCATGTTCCTCTAACGACTTTCATTCAGAAATGCTCGATTTTTCAGTTAAAATTTTGTTTGCATTGTTTTGATATTTTTAATCGTTATTTACATTATCCGCATGCTTTGAAAATTACTTCATTGTCATCTGCTTCGATTACAGATTCATTAATTAAATTAATTAAAAGTAATACATATTTGGGAATTGGAAAACTCCTAAATGAATGTCGTGGCGCAGACAGCTTATTTAGCAAATATTTCTGTAACAAAGAGAATTGATAAAAATTCATGAGTGAACTTCTATAGTTGTGAAAATTCTCTGCAAATAAGATCTCGATGAATTTTGACAAACCTCTTCACTTCAGAAATATTAGCGGAAACATTTTTTGGAGTAGCTTTAACATTTTCATTTCAATTATTTCTGATCATTAACGTTTTTTTTTTTCAACCAATTTGTTTTGGAAATTGACATACAGAATGAAAATGTAAAGCTCATGTGACGAGTTTCAATCTTAAATTCTCTATCTTTTGTTATAAACATTCTTTTTCACTTGAATTGGCTTCAATTACAGATTCATTGATTGACAGAATTAACAGTTAATAAGGAAAATCTTACTCAATATAATTTGAGATGTCCGTTTGTTCTAAAATTCACGGAACGATAAAAAGTTCAAGAAAGGTCCAGAACAATCCAGAATCCTTTGGAAAATTCGCGAATCGTGTGGCAAACTCTGCAATTTTCCGATGTAGAATGCTCCAGAAGACTGGAATGTTCTAGAAATCATTAGGAATATCGTGATTAATTCAGAGGCTCATGGCAATCATGGAAAGTTCTAGAAAGTTATAAAAAACTCCAGATAAATACGTCAGTTTTCTGCGAGTGAATTTTTACATTAATTTTGCGTAATTTTATCGTAAAACTAACGTAAAAATTCATACAAAAATTCTCGATTGATTTCAGCAGGGATAACCATATCCGTAAATCAGAATTACTGTTAAATTTTGAAGTAATCAATCCGTTAATATCACTCTTAAATTTTTAATTATTTTAGTAATCACCAATTTAAATACTCAAATTCCGAATGATTTTATTAATCAATAATTCAGGTAGAAAAACTGATGCTTATTTCGTTTATCGCAAAATTTCTTTCATGAAATTAGTATTATTTAATTAATCGGAAATTTAGATTTCAATTATTTTAGAAGGGGTGGGGCTCAATGAAACAATCGAGAAACGACTGTTTGACGCAATTCAACTAAAACAATTTTTTTTACTGAATATTTTTTGTTATCAACTTTTGTTTACTAATTTTTCTTTATTCCTGGGAGTACTGATGAGAATAATAATTTTCCATTCAGTAGAACGGAATGGATTAATTGAAAAGAAAATGAAACAGCACAATCAAAAGTCCAGAGCAAGGCCCAGGGGGAGACCCAGAGGGGAAAAAAGGAAAATGTGATGCTGAATGTCAATCAAATGAAAAAAGAAAAGTTGTAATCGGCCTAATCTGATCAATTAAATTATAATCAATTAAATTATAAAATGAATAGAAAATTATTATTTTCATCAGTACTCCCAATAACAAAAGTTAATAAAAAAAAAATTTTTTGTTTGAATTGCGTCAAATTGTCGGTTTTCGGCTGTTTCATTTTGCCCCACTCTCCCCTACTATTTTTAAATTTGATGAGCCATCCCTGGTGACTATCAACATTCAAAATGAAAATGTTCATGTCCGGCAAATACGTTTCATCCAATCCATTTTTCCGTTCACGTTATTTATTATTATCATTTACTCCAATTACCGGCATGAATGAGAATCGAGAAAACAGAAACTTCAGTCATACAAATACGCCATACTGAATAAATCCGCTGTCCTATAAATTTTTCAAAATTACTTGAAAAATAAAGATAACCAATAATAATGGATTATTATTGCTTCAGGATTTCACTCTCAAACAATACAAAACCTCGACTTATTTTAGTTGCTTCATTTTTTCCAACTCATCGTTACCTTCCCAACTTCATCATCTTCCTTAATTACATCTTTTATAAATTCCCACTGCCATCTACCAGTTCGCCGAATCACCTAACAATATCGCATGTCAAGTAACCATGGAAACCCACAAACTGTAAACCGTTGGCTCAACATATTTTCGCCTCCTCCCACTGGAAAACAAGAATCAGAATCAACCCGGAAGAAAAATTCTGAAACTATAATAAAAGTACAGCTGCTAGTGCATTGGTCGTGTGCCCGGAGATGGCAGATGTCTACCTCGAGGCATCTGGCTCCGGTTTTTCCGCGCGGTTTTTTCGGGTGAGGAAGTATCAATTTTATTGAAAACTTCCGGGAACGAGTGATCCTTTGAGGTAACAAGGAATCATCAATCAATCGAACCTCGTTTTCTATCTCCCAACAATTGCGGCAATTTGCGGAGCAACAATGGCGTATAAGCAGCAACCCGTTCAGGACGAAGTGGAGATGGAGACGATGGCCGAGGCTGAATTATCCCGATTAAAACGCCAGTACAGAATAATGGAGAATGATCGGGTCACTTACTCCGAAAAAGCGCGATTACAATTGAGGAATCAGCAGAATATGATTGAGAGATTGGAGTACGAAAAAGCGGAACTTGTTTTGGGGATCAAAATGGCCAAGTCGGAAGCCAATTCCAGGAAGGACAACGAGATGGATGAGAAGTTGAAGTGCCTCTTGGCGAAGAGATCGAAGTACATCGAGATGATTAAAAATGAACGACAACAGATTGATGAACTTCAGGAGCAAATTATTAAGGTAAGTAGTTGGAGCCGTTTCATATTGAAGGAGTGAAAGGCGCCAGGTACATTCTTCACAGATCAATGATTATGAGATTATTTTGATGATGAGTTTTTTTTTCTATGATTTTTTCCGGTACTCAACGAGATGTCCTCATTGCACAGAATCAGCAAAATCCAATATTATTGTTGAGTCTTCATAATACTTCACTATAAAATTCAATTTCAATTATGTTTTCTCCTATTTAAGGCGTATCCCTGGAAAACAGGTTTTTCTTGCGGTTGTGCCCGTGTTTTTCATAGATAATGTTTATAATATTCCCAAGCTATTGAAAAAATTCCAACTAGTTGTACTACACAGTTTAGGAGGTAATAAATAATGAAATGCGGACTTCGGGCACGCGAGGCATAGGCCGAACGGGGGTTATGGGTTCCCCTGAACTCGATTTTTCCATCTTACGGGAAAACATTTCTTATGATGTTCTTAAAAAACAAATCTCTGGTAGATCAATAAATTCCGAACACGGTGATTTTTTTATAAATTTTATTTAATTTTTTATTTTCTTCATTTATTTTTTTTAATTTTTTAAAATTTTATTTTAGATAATTTCTGTGATATTCAACTCAAAAAATTGAAATTTTGTGGAGTCATTTCTTATTTGATTCGAAGAATTCATTAATAAATAATTTTTCATTTGATTCGGATAGTCATTATTGCGTGCATCAACAATATAAGTGGACATCCGCACGAAAAGGGACCACTTTGTCGAGTCTAGTTTTCGAGATATTCACATTTTTATCTCAGTAACTCCCATTTACACCAATGTTAAATTTTTTAAAAAATCTTCTCCAGCGACATTATTTTTGATCCTATGAGTATCATTTTTGACTCAAAATGTGCGCAATGTTATCAATATTATCAGAGTATACATAACTCCATATCGACACAATTAATTAAGTCTTCCATTCATCTATCTTTCGGGTACTTTTTCATCAATTACACACAAATTTAACTGCTTGCCTTTGAAAAATTACGTTACAAACAGGATAATTTATCCTTTGCGTCTCATTCTTCTCTTGATATAATATTAAAATCCTACAAATTTATCTCGCTCTTGGATGACCTAGATTGTTTAGTAACTTTTGTTCAAACACTTTTTTCGTGTACCTATCACTGAAGAAAAAATCAAGAAAAAATGATCAAACGATATACAATAAAAATTCACAAATTGTAAGAGTGCTATGAAATTTATCCGTCTTTTTGGTAGTTTTTCACCAACAGCTCACAAATTTTACCCTTCGTTTGTAAAAAATTACGTTACAAACGGGAAAAATTACCCTTTGCCTTTAATTATTTCTCTTTTTTTCAAATAAACAGTTCCGAACTCCATTTCGTTCTCTGATTACCTAGATTGCTTGACAGTTTGTGTCCAAACTTTTTTTCTCCGTGTATAAAATAAAAACACACATAATTCTCTTTAATTACAGAAATATTGCCACAAATTAACGTTCGTCGCTGAAACGTGAACAAAAATACTTTTCTCGTAAAATCTTCGTAATGACCTCCACAGACTCCTATAAAATGTACAATAACGATAAAAAACTGATGGACTAATCTCGTTCCTGATTTTTCTAGGTATCTAAAGAGGTTCATGAGCTGAAAATGAAGATTCGTACAGACGCGCAATCAAAAGAAATATCGGAGAAGCATAATCACATGATTACGACCTTAGAGAACAGGTTGGAAGTTGCAACTAAGCGTTTTAACGTTGTGGTCGCTGAGAATTGTCAATTGCGCGCTAAGATAGACAGTTTGCTGAAGGAACGAGCGCAGTTCAACATCCTCTGGGCTAAAATGATAGGCCAACTCAATACTGGAAAGTCCGTCATCAATGATCTCATTGAGCAGGCTACGATTACGTTCAATCAACGTGACGAGGAGCTCAACAAGATTCATGCACTCAGGGAGAGGTAATTGCTACTTTTGCCCCAAGATTGTTTTCCTTCGAGCACTATTACTCTTCTTGAAATTTGCATTCTCATAATGCAAACAAATTTATTCACCTTTCCCTTTCTTCTTCTCACTGTTGATTTTTCTTCTTGTTTCTGTGAAAAGGGGAGCGAGAGATTTGAAGGCACACACTTCAGAAATGTGTGAATTGCAACGAACACTCGATAATGAACTTAAGCTCCAGGAATTCTTGGGGATTAAGGGACAGCACAGAGAAATGGCGGATTTGCAGGCGAAAAAGGAAGCTGAACGTGAAGCTAAACGCGAGGAGATGAAGAATAAAATTGCTTCTTATAGTGAGATTTTAAATCTTGTGAAGCAATTCACAGGTAAGAATTAGTATTTTTTGTCATTACATGGCGGGGATAGTTGGATAAAAATTACCTAGAAAATCGTGGCCAATTTTAGTGTATGAAAGGTAATTGTGGAGCGAAATATCATTCAATGAAAAAATATTTTACGATTCGTTCGGTAAAAAAACACAGCTACGGATGTAAAAATTATCCTTCTATAGTGTAATATTTCCCACACCGGTAGGGAATTTTTACTTCCGAATGGAAGCTTTGTAATCGTTGACTTTGGCGATCTTCTAATTTTGCCTGGAAATAACGAAGAATGTCATGAAACGTGAAGATATGATGATGTAAGTGATGTTCTGGACCGTTGAAATTGATATTTCTTAAAAAATTCTTGACCATGTTTCGGTCAGCTGCAGTCATCAGTGATGGATATTTAAAAATGCACAAACATACTATTTTTTGAAAAAAAATTCCACGACGTTTCGAGCGCACAATGCTTCTTCTCTTCAGGTGTTGCTTTTAATATTTGTAATTAACAAATTAAAAAAGGCAATATTTCCTGACATATTCTTACAAAATGAAGAGCCTGAGTAAAGTGAATTTCTTGTGCGTAAAGCACTTGTTGCTTTATGATTATTAGAATTATTATCCATTAATAAAATGGATAAAACTTTAACTGAACAAATTTCCCCTCTCAGAATATACGCGCGAATCCGCGAGATCATGAATATTTTCGAAGTCAACAAACACCCCGATATGAATCGTATAGGCGAAACATAATCCACTTTATAATAATAGTGCGATAGTTCAGTGGTTAGGGCATAGAACTAGTAATGGTAGGGTCCCAGGTTCGATCCCCAGCATCGGCAAAAATCAAAGTTTTTTTCAGCGTTAATTACGGTAGAGGTTCATCAGGACAGGCGATATGCAGTGGCTCCCGTTGTAGTCGCACTCCTGGGGGAATAGGGGAAGTGATTTCGGAGAATGTGACTGTATTTTGCCCCCACTACGCGCTCACGTGGGACGAGATTTCTGAGAACTGGAGTTATTAAATGAAAATACTAACGATTCAATTTTATTTTTATTGAATTTAACGCTTTATTAAATAATTTTAATCATTATCATAACGTTTCAATACACATTTACTCAGCTTTCCTTTTTACAGTTCACTGATTGGTTTTATCAAGAAACTTTGCTTATTATCAAAGGGGTTATGCTCACACGGAAAAATTTATATTTTGAAAAACATATAACAAAATATGTTAAATTGGCCCAATTTATATTTAAAAAAATATAGAAAACATATTTTATTCTTTATAAATTTGAAAAATATATGGAATTGGCCCATATTATATATATTTTATATATATTTTTCATGGGGGTGGTCTTTTAGTTTTCATTGTAAGATTCACCTTAAGGTACTTCCGCAGTAAGCTCAAAAACATAGGAGTGGGGATAAAGATTGTGCACTCTAACCTCGTTTTTACGTCCTATCATCCAATGTATAACCCCCAAAAACATCATGATTTTTACGTACATTTTGGATAACAACTCATGATTCCTGTGGTCATGAATAATGAAATTGCAGGAATGTATTTTGGAAACATATACGATGCGATAAATCAAGTATTTGGATTCGTAGCATATTGTCCATGGTCGTCATTCCCCATTGAAATGTGTCTCATAAGGCTCTATAACAAATGACAATTTTAATTTTTTCCTCTACAAAAATCAATGTGGTAAATCGTGTTGAGACTTTCGGGACAACTTGCTAATTTATTGAAAGAATATATTCTTAAAGTTTCAACCCTGTAGCACATTTCTTTCTACTCCCATATGACTACTGCGGAAGTACCTTAAGGTACTTCCATTAAAAAGATATTCCCAAAATTTCAAGTCCCTGGTCCACCCCATTTTTGAGATGTGCATCGCCAAACATTCAATTTTTGTGTTTTTTTCCATTTTTGACGATGTATATCTCGAAAATGGGGTGGACAAGGTACTTGAAATTTTGGGAATAGTTTTTGAATGTGCTCAACAATATATGATCCAAATATTGCGTCTTTATACCATTTCGAAATTTTCACCAATTATACTTACTGCGGAAGTTCCTTAATCCTTTTTATTCCACTTTTTATCTGCATCTTACGGTTGCAAAAATACGGCCCAAAATTTCAAGTCCCTGGTCCACCCCATTTTTGAGATGTGCATCGCCAAACATTCAATTTTTGTGTTTTTTTTTCCATTTTTGACGATGTATATCTCGAAAATGGGGTGGACAAGGTACTTGAAATTTTGGGAATAGTTTTTGAATGTGCTCAACAATATATGATCCAAATATTGCGTCTTTATACCATTTCGAAATTTTCACCAAGTATACTTACTGCGGAAGTTCCTTAATCTTTTTTATTCCACTTTTTATCTGCATCTTACTGTTGTTTTTTTTATTCTGATTCATTATCTAATTTCCCGTTACATGACTGATCAAAGCCTGACCCAATTATCATATCACTTTCTGATCAATCTTCAGGCCTGACCTGATCCAGTCTTGACTTGGACCTGACCAAAATTTCGACCCGGGATATATGAGTTAATCCGAATTTCACGAGAGAGGATTAACTGATTCAACCCCCTCCCTCTAGAAAAGGGGTTACTACTAAACTATACTAAATGACAAATCACTTCACCTCGTCTATTCTATTCCTTAGGCGAGGATGACATCGATAAATTAACAGCTCACTTCCTGAAGCAAGAGGAAGAAAACTTCGCCCTATTCAATTACGTGAATGAACTGAATGACGAGCTCGAGGGCTTACAAACACGTGTGGCCCAATTGAGAGACGAAATCGACGAGGCACGTGCCCTAAACATACACCGGGGTTGCCAGCAGGCGGAGACCCTCGAGAGGATCTCAAAGCAGCTGGAGGAGCAGACGGCACAGGCCGACGAGGCCGAAGCCAGTCTCACCGAGGTTTGCCATTCATCGAAAAATCTGTTCTCCAGACTCATTCACTCACCCCACATTCTTCACATCCTCTTCATTAAATCGCCATTCTTCTCTTTTCGTTCCCAGTGCAACGAGACCTTCGATAAATTACTGCAAGGAATTGAGGCACTGTTTCACAACGTCAAGTGCGATAATTCGTCTATTCTGGATCTTCTGGGAGATAATACTCATGTGACTATGAATAATGTGATGCTTTATCTCGGGATTATTGAGAAGAGGATCGGCGAGATGTTTCATAGGGTGCATTGGGCTGACGTCAATGCTGGGAAGATGGACGCGTTGAGATTGGATGAGGAGAAGAGATCGAAATTTAAAGCCCCTTCGTTGAGCCAACTCGCACCTACCCAGCCTTGTCCTTTGTAAGTCCTTCGATTCAGTAGTGAAGAGCATACCAGAAAAACGATAGAAAAATCTTACGCATTCGCTAGGAAAGTTCATTTGTTTTTCGCTGATTCTATTGAAGAACTCCGTATTATCGATAGATCAATAACGTAGGAAAAGCACTAAAATTACCGATGCCCCATTCAACCGCGTGTATAAGTAGCAACTTCAAAAATTATTCCTATTATTATTGTTTAAGTAGGGGTCTTGACATTTTGCACACGGCTTTCAAATGGATCAAATAATCTGTTCAGCAATTTTCATTGAATTCTCTGCTTTTTTTTCCAGCTACGGACCCCGCCATAATACCCTTAACGTGTAAAACTCAAAAAAATGTATCTCAAGTTTGAGATGGTCAAGTGCAATTATAATATGGACTTATTTTACAGCTAATTCTTAGAGCTATCTACGATTTTAAAATAGTATATTTCGTTACGAATCTTCCATGTTCTGACCCGCGCCAAGGACGTTGGTTGGATTTTTACCGATTTTTTTATTGAGCCCTAACTCGGATTATTTTCATTGGTTTCTGTATTGTTTCATGTTTTTTGGGGACGTTGTATTTTTCTAGAAAGTAGTCTTTTTCATTTCCAGGAAAAACCAAAGAATAATTTTCCTTGGCACAGTGTTTTTTACAAATAGTTTTTACAAAAAGTAAATCTACAGGATTCCATATAGAATCACTCTATAAGAATATGCCATAGTCTATCTCCGAATCATGTTTTCATACATTCCTTTCTGTTAACGCCGCCGAGCACCCAAAATAATTCGAGCCCAACCGTCTCGCCTTGAGACCTGTTAATAAACTATTACGCACTTGATTGGCGATAGGAGATTACGGTGATAGTGTTGAATAATCTGTCGTTGACTCCGGACGTGTCGAAACCTTAATGGAGCATGAGTGGGTTAACACGAATCTATTATTTTGATGGAAGTTCTTTCTTATGGTTCATTTATTACGTTTTATGCACGCTGAGAAAAAAATGGTCTAATATCATAAAACAAATTTCTTCAGCCAAATATATGATCTCTTAAGGAGCTAGAGAATTTTCCAATACAATCGGCGAAAAACTAGTAGAATTCTCGATATAAGTCCCATCCAATTCAATACTAATTGAACAGAATTTTCTAGATTTTTCTATGAGGATTCTTCATACATGAGGTAAAACAGGTTGAGTCAGCACACCTTATTAATTACGAAATTATCTCACTGCAGAGTGGTTTCGGGAGCAATCATCAAAAGACTATTGATTTCAAATTTCGTCAGTATTGAGAGAGATCTTATGACATTTGGTTCCCAAACTACTCGTCATAGAGATCACAACATAATTCTTAGAGATTACAATATAACTCATTGTTTTAGTTAATGTGTCTTTTGAAAGGAGGGGTTTTAAAGGAAATATGGTATTTCAACCGGTATATTTATATTCTGTATTACCCGGGCTATCTCACGTATGAAAAAATCGTATAGAAATTTTCTATACGGATTGCGTATAGAATTTCTATAGGATTTTCGTATATGATATTCGGATATTTCTATACGGATATTTTTTATACAAATTATTTCTATAGGTTTGATCCTATACGACCCACTTCTTCATGTATAGAAACATTTCGTTAGGAGTTGCGACATTTCTCTACGTTTTTCTCTGGAGGGTTTAGACATCGTTTGTATGAAAACAAAAGTTTATGAAAATATTCATGTATAGAAATAATTCATATAGAAAATATTCGTATAGAAATATCCGAATATCATATATGGTAATCCTATAGAATTCTTATCCACAATCCGTATAGAAAGTTCCTATACGATTTTTTCATACGTGCTACTCGGTCAAACCTTAGATGTTTTTGAGGTATAAATTACATGGAAAGTGGGATGTTATATGCTATTCTTCGATTTCGATTCTTGGATTTTGCTGTTTCATTCTCTTTTCTATTAACGCGTGGACAAAATCTTCTCCCGTCAAAACTTCTCAATAATTTTCCATTTTACTAAATGAAAAATTATTTTTATCACACTGGGCGAAAAAGTTACTTTTTAGGTACGTTTCGTGTGCCTAAAACGTCTCTTTTCCACACATTGTGATGAAAGGAATCGTTCGATACTCTTGGAAAAAATGTTTTTTGGCTCGTGGGAGGTTTATAGCACGATCCGAAGGCGAGTGATATAATCCCACGAGCCAAAAAACACTTTTTTACACTCGTATCGAAATATACTATATTCTCATTACTACTGCCAATAGAAAAAAAAGCTGATAAACCAAACTTAGTAAAAAGAATAGCTGATAAAAAAATGCTGTTTTACTTACATTGGGTCAGTCGTTTTTCGACTTTCATTTTACTCCACCCTCCCGTGAATAACGATAGTTTTTTTTTTAAACCTGGTTTAACAAAAAGTTTAACAAAAAGAAAGAAAAGTAAAAAAGTTTAAAAAATAAAAAATTGGATGGGAAAAGTTTTAAAATTTGAAAGTTCATAGTCCGGCAAATTGAAGATGTGACATTATACCCCACCTGATTTCAAATCCGTATGCCTCCGAATTTTTTAATTTGTGCATTGATATAATTATTTACTTGTTTCCCTCATACAGAGGTCCGGAAAGTCGAAGGATAGCATATAACATCCCGCTATCTATGTAATTTATACCTTAAAACCGTCTAGGGTTTGACCGAGTCGATAGCCCTGGGGTAATACAGGTTTAAGGATTGCTGCAAGCAATTTTGGCGGGAGTTTTTCACAAAAGTAAATTTTTTTATGGTCAAATGCCATGAAACTTTGGCAAAACCTTATTTGAACCATTATAAGATGATCGATCTATCGCTTAGCTCTTTTTCATATTGTCGATATCAACTAAAACATAAAAAAACAAAAAAATCGATATTGACAATATGACGAAGAGCTGAGCGATAGATCGATCATTTTATAATAGTTCAAATAGCGTTTTGCCAAAGTTTCATGGCATTTGACCATAAAAAAATTTAGTCTTGTAAAAAAGATGCTTACGTCAATCCTTAAAAGGAATTTCTCAAGAGCTATTCCGTAGAGTTCGAACCACTTCAAAAACCAATTACTGATATTTTACTCTAAGAGTACGCGGCATAAAAATGAATGCATAATCATCGGATTTCATATTGAAATGGAGAGACTCAGAATAAAACGCCCAAAGACTTTTTTTGTGTCCAATTTTCGGTGTTACCAGCCAGGTTTTCGATACTGTTCCCTAGAGTCACTTGCGTTCGAGATAAATGCGTGACTCATCGGGATTAAAGTTTCGATTCAATTTTTTCTAACACTTCACTACTGGAATCGTTCCTCCATTACTTTCCCTTGCTATTTTTAATTTTTCAAGTTATGAATATTTTTTTATAGTTTGTTTTTATGATTTAGAGAAGGAATCTCATTATATTTCAAATGATTCACGCAAGAGTCCTCTTAACCTTTCGTTGGTCGCGCGGTTACCGTCGCGCCGCACGTGGTTTGGGCGATACAGCGTTGCCGCCGGCCGCAATATCTTTTCGATCAGGTCCTCGCACGTCAAAGCACTCGTTCATGTTCAACTTTTTATGATGTTTTATGAGTTAAAATTCGTGGATATTTTTTTTTCATTTTATTGGAACTCTTTACGTAATAAATAATACATTTTATACTTTATTTTGAATTTTCCACTAACTTGACTTTGTTATCAATCATCACCAACGACTGAAACTTCAAAATAAGCTGATATTCATATTTTTTTTTTATTTATACTGTTTATCCATTTTTGGGTATTTGACATGAATTTTTACATTCAACAGTCATCAATACTGGCAACCTAGAAAAAACTTGACATCTATTTTTTGTTTCTTTTATTTCTTTTTTAATATTGCCACAAAAAATTAACGAAAATTGGTTGGTACCTATACACAGAAAAACCTAAACGTAAATTACGTTTTGATAAACGTAATTTACGCTTAACGTCAATATGATGTCTAGTGTGGCTTTTTTTCTGTCATGAAAATCAGAATTTAGGCTTTAAAACGCTTTAATACGGGTTGTATTTTACGGTCAAAATAAAAACGTAAATTATGCTTACACTGTTGAAAAAAATGAAATTTCATGGGTTTTCTCCCCCTAAATCGCATTCAGTGTCACTATCTGGAAAATTCACGAATACATTCACCACAATTTTCTGGTTTCCTATTCATTTTCAGGGAAAAATGAAACGGAAATTTACAGTTCTGTTTAAGTTTTCTACAAAATTCTGAATTCTCAATGACAAGATTTCCAAAATTTCAGTGGAATTGGAACACGATATAAATTTTCAGAATTTGGCACGGAAAATTCGGAAAAAAAATTTAACAGTGTAAACAAAACGTTTTTTACGTTTATCAAAAATACAAAAAATCATCGTAATTTACAGCAACTTTGAGCGTAATTACGAATAAGAGATAGTAAATTACGTCGATGTAATTGTCATTTACAACGATTTTGAGCGTAATTTACGATTGCGAAATAATCGTCACACATTACGTATAATGTAGACTTTAAATGTAATTTACGACTTCACAATCGTAAATTACGTTTAGATAATCGTAATTTACGGCGATTTTGAGCGTAATTTACGCTTCAACTTCAAGCGTAAAATACGCTTCCGAAAACGTAAAAGACGACTTCTTAAACGTAATCTACGTCCAAGTTTTTCTGTATGTAAACTTCCGCAACCAAATAAAAGTGAAGGGGGAAGCCGGAGTTTCCATCCCCTGCTATGGACTGACTGCCGGTCACATTTGGCAACGTCGGCAAGAAAATTTCACTGACGATTGTGGTCGCGCCGCATTTCAGGCTCGGCTCTCAGAAAAACTCACTTTTCTAATGTTTTATCAAAGGACATGTACTGAGGGACAGCAAATAGATTGAAGAGAGAATTCCTGGGGTTTCCAAAATTTTCGGATATTGAATTATTTTTATCTTGATTTTTGTCCCACGTGCGGCGCGACGCTCATAGCGCGAGCAACGAAAGGTTGATATTTTTTTATCATGTTTCTCTTTCAGTTTCTTTGAATTGTAATTGCTTCCTTATCACTCTTAATTTCTGTGAATTTCGTATAAATAGATGTGTTGAGAAAGAAGAGTTCCAAATCGTGACAGAAGGTCTCGAAGTTCCCCTGACGCGTGACGAAATCGGTGAGAAGCTGAAAAACGTTCTCGAGGAGGATCACACCGATATTTTGCATAATGTCTCGGGTTGTCACCTACCAGCAGCAAGAAAAATTATTCAAAAACGATATCAATAAATTTCTGGGAAGAGTAACAATGAATTTAAAACATTGAATTATCATTCATATTACTCAAGTGGACGCGCCTGTGTTGCTTCACGCGAAACGATCCTCAGGCGCTCCCACGTTTCCTGGGAATAACGTAATCGAGGGAATTTTGTTAGTAAACGAAATGTCTATGATTGTAGCAAATTGCACTAATTAGTTATTGGAGGTTTCCCTCGAACAATTTCCGGCAAGAGATTATCCACTGAAAACATCTTTGCATTTGTATATTTTTTTGACATATGTTTTTAAATAAAATATTTTACATTTTGAATGAAGAAAAAATTATTTGAATAAAGAATATTTTAGGGAAATTTCTCCCATTTTTAATAATTTTCCATACTCTATCCTGACATTGTTTTGAAGCAATAAATTATTGATCCATTTATTTGTGATACTAGTGACGCTAACCCACATATGACCCCTATATGATCCCCATGTGACCCTCATATGATCTCCATGATCCTTATACTGACCCTTATGACTCTTGATCAGATCCTTGTGGCTCTTACTTAGACCCTTAATCTGGCCCTTGTTACTCTTGTTTAGACCCTTATTATAACTCTTGTGACCCTTATTCTAAACCTCACGACCCTTATTCTGACCCTTGTGACCCTTATTTTGACCCTCATGACCCTTATTCGGACCCTCATGACCGTTATTTTGATCATTCTGACAGTTAATTTCGAATACCAAATTTTCATTACCTGAAGTCGATTTGGATTTTTATAATATGCAGAGATTGTGTATTGACAATGACTAGAAAAATTATAAAACCGACTTCAAGGAAGAAAACTCAAGAGATTAAAAAAAAATAAAATTCAACCAATTCATTCGATTCTATTTCCTGGATAATTTTCTCCAGAAATTTATTTATACCGATTATATCTACAATTCCAATTATTCACTTCATTTGGAAAAAAGTAATTTTGGATTTAGAATCCCTCATTGTCCCATGTTTTCCCAATATTTTTTTCCTCGTCAAAATTCATTTGCTACCATAATTATTATCCAAAATTCTTCATTTATAGGAGGAAACCACAATTTTAGGAGTAGACTTGAACAGAATTGATTTAAAAAAATTGATATCGCAAGTCAAGCTTTTTGTCCTTTCGCTTCTTTCATCGCTTTTTTGTTCGCAGCCTTCACAATTCTCTTCAGCTCCAAGATCGTGCTCTTAATATGGACCAGTTGATTCTCAATATCCCCTTTATCAACTTCCACCGGAATTCCCTTCCTCTTACAAATCTGTTGATAAATATTCCAGCAACAGGACTTGGTCTGCGTTAATTCCAAATTCTTATCCCCAGCCGTCGATTTGATTTTCGTGACGATTCCCTCCCACTTCAGTGCACCAGCCTTAGCTCGGTCATATCTACTTTCAAGAGTCGCCAATTGATTATTCAAAGTCATCAGCTTCTGTCCCTTCTCCTCCGTGAGTTTTTGCTGGAAAAGAAATTTAATTTATTACAAATATGAGAGTAATTGTCTTAATTGAATTTTTCTACCATTTCAGTACTAGTTTTCCCTAGGGCATTCAGATTCTCGTCCTGATTCATCGTCAATGTTTTTCTTGCCTCTACAAGACTCTCGAATCGATTAAAAATGTCACTTATGGACTGAAACTCCCCAGTTTCACTTATAACTTTTTCCAAATAACTCTGCGCACTTTTATAATCTTTCACGTATCTCTGCATTTTGTCACGAACTTCGGTCATGTGCTCTATCTTATCCTTGAGGGTTTTTATCTATAAAAACAAATACAACTTTAAATAAATATGCAATTTCTAAAGAAACCAGCAACACAATAAAAGGAATGAGGCCAACTCGATGTATTTCTCAACTGAGAATTTTCATAACATCTTTCAAACAAGGGAGTTTGGAGAAATTTTGTAACAACTATATTACCGAAAATTTTATGAGCAATTAAAAAAATGTTTAGACGTTTTTTATTCCGAATGGGAGCATCGCAATGATTCGATTCCCACATTTTGTAATTTTTCTTGGAATCATATCTTTATCAGTGATCTTCATCTACAAGTAAACTTTCTAGTTTTTTTCAGATTTTTAAAATGTATTTGGTTCAATATCGAGATTCAAACTCAGACCTTCAAAGTTTAAGGCCCGGGTGTACTATCTTTCGAATGTTATCTGGATTTTTTTTATCTTTCGCAATCCAAAATTGTTGATTGAGTGGTACATCATGTAGAAATTCCCAAAAATTATAATAGAACGATAAAAAAATGGAAAAAATTCTGAACTTTTACAAAGAGCGTTTTTAATTGAGATTCAGAATGAGTTGAAAAAAGTGGAAATTACAAATATTTGATTCGCTGTGGCAAATTATCTATTAGCTGTCATGTTCCATGGTGGGTAACAAAACACTAACACCTCATGGGAAGAGACAGCTAGGTATCTCAATTTTTGAAACAGTGGTATGTAGTCATCTGCCATTTTTATGTGATAAAAGTGTGATTAAAAAATTCTCCAAAATATTACAACTTTTTTAAAAGAGCCTTTTCCGTAATCAATGTCTCTGTGCAGTGTGGGAAAAGATTTACGAAATCAGTCTTCCCCCTGCATGATATAGGGTGATAGGCCGCCATTTGTCACGGTAAATCAGATACTGGGTAGCTTACCCTATTCCACAAAAAAAAAAAAATGGCGTATCAATGTAGTATCATTATTTGTCAATAACACCACTAATTGTGAAGTATCTAGTCAATATACACGACCGAATGGTTGAATGGAAGCACTCTACAACGAATTCCTAAGATTGTCTAACTGAAGAATAAATTTACCCTAGACAAAAATTTATTCTGACGATTTATTTAGCTAACAGGGCTTGGTGTAACCAGCCCCAAGTTTGAATAAATTTTTCGTTGACTTGAACCGCATAAATGCCAATCCTACGGGTATAAATTTATTCAGAAGCGAATATCATGAAGATGTACCATTTCGCTGTTGCGTATCTAATGTAAGGAAAATGTAGCAATGGGTGGTAAACCACATCGACGTATCGGAAAAAGAAGCGCCCAGAAGGTGTACCCATAGAGAATTAAAATATTTGTCCTTATGTTTTCTATCTCAATCGATCCAAATAGGTCCACCCATTCATATAAATTTCTCGAGATATTGCTATTTTTCAAGTATTCTTTTCTCAAATTTTTTTCCTAATCGCCATGTTTTCAGGAAAAAATTGAGACGGAAATTCTCAGCATCGACTTTCTTGTCCTGCACATTTGGCGAGGATCTCATATTACGATACAAGTGAAAAAACGTAAATGTTAACGAGTGTAAGGTTGCCCTCGCCTTCGGCTCGGCTTGTAATCACACTCGCTAGGAAGTACATTTTTTTATTGCATCGTGCGAAATTCTATGATACTGGTGAGAGGAAGGCGGTTCAAACGTGCAAAAAAGTGCCCTTTTTGTCAATTGTATCGTAAAGGCAGTTTTTTGACTCATTACGTTTCATAACTTGAATGCAGCGGGCAAAGTGAGGAATTAATTGAGCAAGATAATAAAAAAAACAATACATCTTCTTCGCATTTTTGCTGTCGTTTCCTCTCTTCTTTAATTTTCCTCTGGGCCCTCTCACGTTTCTCTCTATTCTCCTGAACGAACTGATCAAATTTCACGAATGATTCTCGAAACAGATTCTGTTTTCTCCTCATCTCTGCCCACTGTTGATCCATGTCGTGACGTTTGTTTTCATGTTCAACACGTTTTATCTCGAGCTCTTGTTCAGCCTGAGTCAAATCTCTTTGCGCCTTCATCAGCTCTGCCTCTGGCCCGTGTCTTGCTACGTCCCATTCTGGATATTTCCTTTAATTGTAATTGAAATAATTTATAATTATTTTCACACAAATAATTGATGTTTAATAATAAGTTCAATGCAAACAAATAATCTCCACATAAATAAAATGTGGGGAATTGAACAATTATTTGATAACAATACGCTTCTTCGAGAATTTCTTGTCATCATAAGAAATTGATTTATTATTATCCAAATTTTCCAGGAAAGGTTTACAAAAAAAATCAATGGATAATTTTGTACAACATTTTTTCTGAATTTTAAAAAAATTATTCAAATTTTTTCTCCAAATCAAAATGAGGAGCTACTCACTCCCGAAATCATGGCGCCACTCTGTGATGAAATCATTGAAATCATCGAAATCACTGAAATCACATGATTTCAACTTTCTGAAATCATTTCCAAAATACGCTGAAGTCTTGGAATCACGCCGAAGTCATTTGAAATTAATGAATGCCTTGTAAGAGAAAGTGACGAATTTTATTCATCGTAATTTCAATTATTTCATTGCCTCTGAAATCACTGATTTCGAATCTACGAAATCATTCGAAGTCAATTGTAGTCACGAAATCATATCGCGTTCCACTTGAAATTATTGATTTCATTTTTTCCGAAATCACTGAAATCAACCATGAAATCACGTGAAGCCGACTTCATTTCGAAATCATGGTATCACTTAATCAGGGAGTGAATAATCCCTCGGTTAAGAAGGAGTTTTATTCAATTTAATAAAATGAAATAAAGAATTAATTCCACATGATAGAAGGAAATGATGTGCAAAATAACCATTCCGAAGCATATTGATAATTTATTAGCAAAAATAACTATACTATATGAAATACAAGAGCAATTTCCCACTTGTTTCAAGTTAGAAGTTTTGTTTCCTTTACTGATTTTTGAGCGTAGACTGAGAAGAAAAATGATTTTTGCCAAATATCCATTTACTTGGGAGAAGTATTTATTTTTTCAATAATGTATTTCTCCAGTCGAGTCATTCTCAGGCAATCCTCATCAGGTTTCACTCATATTGCTCTAGAAGATGCTCATGTTAGTTATGACCTTGAGTAAACTCCTTCAATAATTATCAACCTTAAAAAATTCATCAAAATTCTTCCCTCTAGAAAATAAGAAAAATAGGAAAAAATAATAATCATTAGAGGAGTTCATCCAATGTTATGTGCAACATAATCATCCTCTAGAGTAACATGATTGTCATAATTGAAACCTAATCAGACTCGCCTGAGAATGACTCGTCTGGAGAAATACGATTTTGACAAAAGAAATGCTTCTCTCAAGTAAATGAATATTTGGCAAAAATAGTTTACTTTCTCGGTGTAAATTGACTGGAAGGAGTTGTTCAATAATGATAAACAGAACCGGGTGGATAAATTATGAGGAGTAAGATTCTTGTAAATAAGCGATTTTTATAGAAATAATGCGAGGTCAACCTTGCAGGAAAATTTTTCCCTTCCAAAAATGTCCCTCTAAATTTTCCTTCAGAAACTGTTATTTATCGAGATCATGACAGAACAGCTCGTGAAGTATTTGTCATTCTCCGAAAAACACTTGTTATTACTCACGTAACTTGACGAGCTTCCAATTTCGACTGAAAATACTCAGAGATAGCTTTCTCTGGATTTCTTGTAATAACTGCCCTTTGGACCAGACTCCTGGGTCCTTTATTCATCCTTGGGGCCATGATTTCTCTCGAAACTCACTTCTCCAAAATTTCTCAAGAACTATTTTCTATCGATCAAACTATTTGCATCTCCACTCCCACTCTTCCTTCCATATAACTCCGTATATAGTCCATACGTCAGAGGCATTTCTGTGTACATTGAGATGTCCAGAAGATTTGATCATTGGACTTTAAATTTTTTAAATCGATGATTGCAAATATGATACCCATTTTTTCAAAATCATGCGCAATTTATTTGTTTATAACTTTTTTTAAACGATATCACAGAAATGGTTGCAGATAGGAAAAAAAGTTTCGAACAAAAGATGTTTGTCTTTAAGAAATACACGTTTTTTGTTTCATAACTTTTTCCCTAACTATGATAGATAGAGAGTTATCGGGCGTGGGAGCGAAGCAGGCAGCGCTTTAGCACTTGCGTGATGTATTTGCGCGCTCCAATGCGTTTATCGGCAAAGTCGATAGAGATAGAGAAAAATAGTTCAAACAAAAAATGTTAGCCATTAAATTTCCCATATAATTTGTTTTTTGAAAATTTTCCCTACACCTAACCGCTAATGAGATATAATCGCTCTTGTGCTGCATGGTGGGACAAATTGCCTACAATGTTTTTGTTTATTACAGTTTCACGAGTGAACGGGTTGAGGTACGTCAAAAAAATCGTATTAAATTTATTCTCCCATAAAAAATACATAGATTTGGTATTGTGCCTTCTTGTCATATCTTCATTATTTCCAGAGATGTAGCCCGTTAAGTGAGAGCGCGGGCGGTCCACGCGCTTACCACAGACATTTCGCGCAACTATAACTCGTTATCTATCATAGTTAGCGAAAAAAGTTGTAGAACAAAAATATGTATCTCTAGAAGTCAAATACCTTTTGTTTGAAACTTTTTTCCCTATCTGCAACCTCTTTCGTGATATCATCGTTCGAACAATTAAATTGTTATAAATAAACAGACAGGGCATGATTTCGCAAGAGTGGTTATCCTATTTATAATCAGCGATCTTGACAAGATAAAATCCAACGATCACATCTTCTGGACATCTCAATGTATACAGATATGCCCCTGGTGTATGAATTAATACTTTTAACAAACTCCTAAAAATTCCCAAATCCTCCTCAAGGAAGCAATTTAATTCCCCCAATGACTCTACATAATCCCCAGAACCCCATAAATAATTAATTTACAACTTCAATTTCAAATAATTCAAGTGAAAACCCGTAAACGAAATATCCCCAGGCCCTAGTGATATTTTCTTCCTAGGGATCTCGACCCCCTGAAGTTCCCCTCCCTGATGACAATATGGCGACCACGTTTCGCAGTGTTCTCTGCAGCAGAGTAATCAACTCCTGATTTTTAACAAAAAAACCTCGTAATTGTGACATGTCATGTGATTAATAAGTGATTCCCTCAACCATTGAACATCCCCCAACAAAACCGACAAATAAAATCATCAAATTATCGAGTATTAAATGAGCTTAAGGTGATACGTTTCTGACAGCGTGTACGCAATGGCCGATGACACCACCTCGCTGCCCAGGAGGCGTCAATTGGTAAACAAATGGCTGAAAATCACAGTATTAACCAATAATGGAGTGCCTCAGCTCTCAGCTCCAGAGGAATTTCTGTAAACGTGTTTTTAAATTTTCCTTTCTTTTGTTTGTGTATCAACCAGAGGGAGAGAACGAGAAAACTTTACACAGACGACTGGACCCTGGGGGATGAGGAGATTGAGGGCAAAAGGACCTTTCAGCTCGATGAGAAGATCGAGTGTGAGAGGTATAACCTCAGTAACTTCACAGGACTCTTCAGGGAGATGAATGGAGCTGAACTCAATCTGAGTTTTCTGCAGAGATATGGACTCAGTATTCCTTTATTATTCAGGGATAAAACTGGACTTGGGCTCAGGGTTCCAAGCCCCAATTTTTCGATTAATGATGTCAGAACATGTGTTGGTACGTCACTTAACCTTTTTGTTTTTTTTTGTTGGAATTTCTTTGTTATTTTGGGATTATTTCTGGAGTGAGAGGATTTAGGGAGAATATTGATAAGTTTTTTTTAAGGTGGGCGAATCCTCAGCAGAAAATGTCTTGCCAATTTTTAACAGGATTATTTATTAAGAGGAGAATTGCTAAATTAAGTGGGGGAATGGCTTTCAGTTGATGGAAATTACTTTGCTCATTTTATCGATAATGGGTGATAGCAGGAACAATGATTAAGTGATATCTTTCGATTAATGATGTTAGAACTTGTGTTTGTATGTGACTTAACCTTTTTTTTTTGGTTGGAATTTATTCTATTATTATTTATAGAGTGAAGGGGTTTAGGAACAATGTGGAAAAGATTTTTTTAAGATAAGCGAATTATCAGCAGAAAGTGTCTGTTGGCAATTTTCAACGGAATTTTCTATTGAGGAGATCATTGTTAAATTGAGTGGGGAAATGGCTTTTAGTTAATGGAAATTGGTTTGCTCATTTTATTGATAATGGATGATAGCAAGAAGAATGATTAATATCTTTCGATTTGTGATTTAAGAACTTGTGTTGGTATGTGACTTAACCCTTTGTTTCTTTTTACTCGAAGGTCTTTGTTATTCTTGTATTATTTCTGGAGTGAAGGGATTTAGCGAAAATATTGAGAGGCTTTTTTTAAATGTGAGCGAATTTTCAGCTGAAAATGTCTTGACAATTTTTGACAGAATTATTCGTTAAGGAGATAATTGCTAAATTGAATGATGGAATGGCTTTTGGTTAGTGTAAATTGGTTTGCTCATTTTATTGATAATGGGTAATAGCAGGAAGAATGATTAATATCTTTCGATTTATGATGTAAGAACTTCTGTTGGCATGTGCCTTAACCTTTTTGTTTTTTTTTTAATTGAAATTTCTTTGTTATTTTTATATTATTTCTGGAATGAAGGGATTTGGGGAAAATATTGAGAGGCTTTTTTTGAAAGTGGGCGAATTTTCCGCTGAAAATGCCTTGACTATTTTTGATCGAATTATTTGTTAAAAAAATTATTGCTAAATTGGGTGGGGGACTGTTTTTAGTTTATGGGAATCATTTTGATCATTACATCGAGAATGACTGATATTAACAAGAATGATTACGTGATATATTCCGATTAATAATGTCAGAATTTGTGTTAGTACGTCACTTAACTTTTTTGTTATTTTTGTTGTATTTTTTCTTGTTATTTTGTGATTATGTGGTGGTTTAGAGAAAACATTGAGAAGGCTTTTTGGTGGATGAAGGAATTCTTGACAGAAAATGTATTTTAACCGTTTTCAACACAATTATTTGTTACGAAGATAATTGCAAAATTGATTGCGGAATGAATTTTGGTTTATGGAAATTATTTTGGCAATTATTTCGTTATTGGGATACTAGGAAGAATGATTGACTGACTTTTTGTAGAGAGGACTTTAGAAGAAGAAAAGAAGTTTCTTGCCATTTTTTTTCATGAAATTCGTTATGTTTCGAGTAATTTATGCCGGGATGAATATAAATACGTGGCTTAACTTTTTATGATTATCTATAATTTCTTTGTAAGAGGGGAATCTTCAACAAAAAAAATATAAATTTTCTCAAAATGTAATTTTAATAACTCAACTTCATTTTATAATTATGTTCGTGAAATTTTCGGAGGCCCTAAGGCTATAACTAAATTGTCTACAGTTGACGTCTTCATATTTTCTTCCGAAAAGTCCCCACTCCCTATTTACTCGATTAACAAATGCTTCACGCTTAATAGAACGCGTATTATTAGTTCAGTAGCGATGCGGTAAAAAGGTTTAAGTCCATTTTGACTATTGGCCAGTTTGCAATGAATATCTCGAAAGCTAACCTAGATAGTCAAATTATTGTCATTATTTTTTCTCTTCTTCCGTTATCTCCTGTAGATTTGGAGATATTCCTCGAAAACTCAGATAAGGGCTAAATCGATTTGAACCGTTTTACCGCTTCGCTACTGAGTTTACCACTCAATGACGTTTATCCAAATCATTTTACCTTTTTTAATGGATTATATTCTCCTTTTGAAAGACAAACATTTCCCCATTGAGCAGTTTAATTTGACAAAATTATCTTCACATTTCCTTCAATAGACCGTCTCAAAAAAATTCATTTTATTTCATTTAATTTTTTCATCCGGACCCAACAGTACACGAACAATTACAGGATCAAATTAAATCAGTAGCGAAGTGGTAAAACGGTTCAAGTCAATTTTGATTATTGGCCAGTTTTCAATAAATATCTCGGAATCTAAAGGAGATAATAAAAATTTTATCATAAACTTTTTTGTAGAGCCGTCTGAGAGCTACAACAAATGTAATTACGATAATTTCGCTATCGCTCTTAGATTCGGAAATATTTCTCAGAAACTCAACTGGGAGATGAGTCGACTTGAACCGTTTTACCACTTCGTTACTGAAATAAACACAAAGTATAATAACGGAATTAATAAAATGAACAGGTCAAAATGATACTCATGACGAAAAGCATTATTTATATTGCTTATATTATAAAATTAGACTAACTAATCTATCGAAATGTCTTAAGGGGAGATTACTATGAGTTTTACAAGTCGTGGGTTATTGGAGTGAGACTTTTCGTAGGTTGAAGATCGATTATATAGATCTGAAAATGAATAATTAGTGAAAACGCTTAAAATGCCAAAAACAATCCAGGGCTTCCAATTTTTGAGCTACGAAAGATTTTTTTTTCTCAAAATTTTCAGAAAAATATGTGGAATAACAATTACGAGCTAGTTTTTTTTTTAATTCGCCTCTTACATGTCTACATTTGCTTTTTTTGTATTTTTTTTACACAAATAGTGAATTTTTTTATATGAAAAAAAACCAAATCAGCTGTGTAGGAGTCGAATTCCGAAAAACTGGCTCGTTGTTCCACACATTTTTCCGAAAATTTTGAAAAAAAAAAATATTTTGTAGCTCAAAAGTTGGAGGCCCTGGACTGTTTTTAGCATTTTAAGCGTTTTCGGGCCAACGAACAATGAAAAAACATTTTTTTGCACCAATTATTCATTTTCAGATCTATATAATCGATCTTTAACGTATGAAAAGTCTCACTCCAATAACCCACAACTTTTAAAACTCATAGTAGTCTCCCCTTAATAATGCATACTTAAATTTTTGATTCTTTTGTTTTGTTTTTCTTTTTCCTTTTCCATTTAATTACATTACAGTTAAAAAATTAATTCTAAAAACTTATTTTCAGGTTCGAAAAGACTTTTGGACGTGATGGACGTGACCACCCAAAAGAACGAAGACATGACAATGAAAGAATGGCAGAGATACTACGAGGACCCCAACAAGGCTCGCCTCCTCAACGTCATCTCCCTCGAGTTCTCCCACACAAAATTAGAAAACTACGTACAATCCCCAACCCTCGTACGCCAGGTGGACTGGGTGGACACAGTGTGGCCAAGGCACCTGAAGGAGTCCCAGGTGGAAGCAACAAATCTTCTTGAGGACATGATGTACCCAAAGGTCCAGAAGTACTGTCTGATGTCAGTAAAGGGCTGTTACACAGATTTCCACGTGGACTTTGGAGGCACCAGTGTCTGGTACCACATTTTGAGAGGTGGCAAGATCTTCTGGTTGATCCCACCTACCGAGAAGAACCTCGCACTGTATCAGGAATGGGTTTTGAGTGGAAAACAATCAGATGTTTTCTTCGGCGACATGGTGGATCGATGTGGAAGGATCAGTTTGACTGCAGGGATGACATTGTTCATCCCAACTGGTTGGATTCATGCTGTCTACACTCCTCAGGATTCCCTGGTCTTTGGTGGAAACTTTCTCCACAGTTTTGGCATCGATAAGCAGCTGAAAGTGGCACAAGTGGAGGAACAGACCAAAGTACCTCAGAAATTCAGATATCCCTTCTTCACTGAGATGCTGTGGTACGTTCTCGAGAGGTATGTTCATGTGCTCCTGGGGAGGAGTCATCTAGACATCTCTGAGACACAGAGGCAGCATGTCACTCCACCTGTTCAAATGCATCAGCACCTGACGCCTTTTGAGCTCCATGGGCTCAAGAGCATTGTCATGTATCTGCACTCGCTGCCCAGCACGAAGAAGAATGTTCCTGAGTTGATCAGGGATCCTGTGGCTCTGATTCATGATGTGAGGTGTCTCGTAGAGCAGCACAGGCATGACAGCCCGGAGGCTGCGGTCACTGGGAATCCCATTCTACCGACACCACCGCCGTTGAGCATTGTGGAAAGGGTGAGTGATTGTTTAGTTTGGAGCCTGAAATGCAGTTTATGAATTTCTATTCCTATTTTCTCATTTGGAAAATTGAATTTTTTCATGTTCCAAATAAATTCTGAAAATTTACAATTACTTTTGCCAAAGAATCATTTTCTTGGGAGAAGAATTTATTTTTTTAGGAGGGCATTTCTCGGGGTTTTGAGGGCCAGTCATTCCCAGGTGGTCCATGTCCGTCTCCGAATATTACAATTATCTTGAATTATGAGATGATTATGCTACATATGATCTTGAATGAACACCAGTATTTTCCATTGTTTTTCGAATTTGAGATTTTCATATGTAAGATAATTTGGAATAATTCTAAAAGTTAATTATTGTCAATGGAGTTCATTCAAGGTCATATCAGTAGCGAAGCGGGCAACCGGGTTGTCATTTTTTTTGGAACATAAATTTTTCACTGAAATCGCTCTTGAGGGTATGATGCATCTGCCGCATAATTAATTTTTCTGTACTGCTTCTCACGATTTCTCGTCTGGGAATTGGTATTACATACTTCCCAAACTCGAAAACTTGAAAATCACTACAGAAAAATATTGTTCCTGGGCTGTTGCGATGGGGTTTTTTTCCTCGTGTGGTTGGCCAGTCCTCGCCTACGGCTCGGAGGCCAACGCCACATGAGTAAAAAACCCCATCGCAACAGGCCGGAAAAATACTACTAGCCTCGAAATATAATTAATACCGCTTTCGGAACAAAATAAAACTGGTTAAGTCGCAGTTTAGGGAAAATCCATTTTAGAGTGGCTAAGTCGACATAACCCGAAATAAAATGATTTAAAAATGAGCTAAGTCGACTTGACTCGTTTTGTATGGATTCAATGGGTAGTCTTAATATTCTTCTTAAATTGGAGTAGTTTCAATTAAAGAATTGTATTTCTAACTTCCCTACTTTACCGACTATAGGATTTTATGATGATTTAGACTAAAGGAAAATTAATTAAATCCATCCACTAGATAATTTCTCAGTCGATTTTTTTATTGAGTGGCGGTTTAAGTCGACATAACTCGGTTGGAGGGGAAAATTAAGAGAGCTACGTCGACTTAACTCTTTCAGTGTGAAAAACAATAAGTCGATAAAAATTGTTAAAAACTAGTCGGCAGAAGTTGCAACTTATCATGCTAAAATCTCTCTCGATATTGAACGAAATCCGTGCCTGAGTTTGATTAAATTTAAAAAAGGACAGTCACTATCAGTTTTTCGGCTCTCCTGTAAGATTTACATTTTTCGACGTCACTCTGCTTACCGCTTCGCTACTGATATGTATAATAATCATCCCATTGTTCAACATAGGGTGGATATCCGACAGTCCAATTATGGAATATATATTCCGATAGATGGCGCTGCACATAAGGACCATTTCCCAAAATGACTGCCCATCGTGAAACCATAGACGTATCCACGTCAAAATGGTTTTCTCGAAAAAAATCTTCGGAAACAAGTTGATATTGCGCCTAAAAAATACTCTTGGTCTATTCTATAAGCTCTGAAGAGGATTTCTCCCAGAAATAATTGTCTGAACTACTTGGATATCCTTAAGGAGTGTTCGCCAACAAAGCAAAAATCCACCGCAAAACCCCCTTTTTTGAAAATTCATATCTCTTCTCTCACCTCGGCTGAAGAAATGAAAATGATGGCAATCGATTGGGCATTTAATGCACAATGATCTGTGTCGTAAGCTTCCTCCGTGATCGTCACGTGGACCGATCCTTTTCGGGGTTTTAAGATTCGAAATTATACCTGCGTTGGGCGATCGGATGGATGGGACGTAAACCAACTCGACGATGTCGAGTTGGGGTATTTTGATGAACGTGGAAATGCACATATACACTACACACTTAATTTATTTTCACAACAGTTACTTCAGAAAATATTTACACCTTCAAAACTTCAGGACTTTAAAATGTTTTTTCAATGTTTTTTAGATTGTTAAAGTCACTAATGTTGATTATATTGTCACTTGAATTTTATTGTGCACTTAACAGAGCTACGATATAGTCTTGTTAAAGTCAAAAAAATTGTAGATAGAGGGGAATCTTGTCTCTTCGGAAGAGACTCTTCCAGTTAAGGGGAGACGGAACCCCTTTCTCTACATCAAATCTTGGAATTGTGTTTTCTCCTACAATTATTAATTTCTATCTACGAAATTACTTTATCGACTCGATTATCGCATTGTTGAGTCAGTGAAGTAGTTTAATGAATAAAAAATAACAATTGCAGGAGAAAACACAATTCTAAAGATTCATATAAACGCAGGGGTTCCGTTTCCCCTTAAACTTAGGAACTAACTTATTTCTATTTCTTATTTTGCTACAACGTATACTATTCTCAACGGAGGAAGGGGAGTCTCATTGTAATTGGTTAGAATTGTAATTATCCCTCATACTATTGGCTTGAAGAGTTGTCGGAGGAGGGGTTGTACATTGGGTACCTCTGCTGGGTCCTCAGCTGAGTCCTCTATTTTTTGTTGGCCTCCTGCGCAGACCCTTGAGTCCAAGTACGCTGAATGTCTCAATTGTTTTATGACTGGAAGCGTCGACATTTCGTCTCAAAAGTTGAGGAAGGTGTAATAAAACAGAAAAACGTAAACGTGATTTTAGGAGAATTTTGAGGATTATTGGACGTACGTTCTGACATTTACGATTATTTACGGATCTGAAATGGCAACGGAAAAGTTTTTTCCTCTCTTTTCTATGTCGCCCGAACAATCTGAAAAAAATTGCTCTTCTATCATCATACCCGGGTGAGAAAATCCGCAATGAATTTCAAGGCGGCGTCAGACATCTGCTTTCTAAACGAATCTGACCCTAAAAATTAGAGTCAACGTAAAAAATTCATATCTCCACTCTCATTCAATATCGAGGAGTGAAATCGATTGGAATCGATTGGATATTCAATGCCATCATCCCTCCACCTTAACCCCTTAAGCACGGCGCCCATATCGCGCGGTGTGGCCTCATCGGCCGGCGGCCTCCCGTTTACTCGAATTCGCTGTTCAATACACGACAATTTCTACACTGATGATCAAAACATTATTATCTAAAATTTAATGATAATCTTGAGTTTTCACCAATAAGTTGTTCAATTTCCGTATTCCTTTACACAGATTTTTTTGAAATTTTTAAGACTAATCGCAATTCGGCAGTACAAGCGGTTGCCATGATCGGCGATTGTCGGACATTTGTTAATAACAAATCAGTAATTCATTGAATCAAAATTTCGTTTGCACCATTCGATAAAGGAATGTGTAGAGTATGTTCGGTAAAAATTTCAAAAATTTTCAGGAAAATTAGCTCGATAAACGAGAGATTTACGTATACATCTGACATCGAATTCAGTTCCGTATTATTTATGTATTGACGACGAATATTTTTAAAAACTTGGAAAAAATCGAGTCGCATTGTGTTGATAATTTTGTCTATTTCATGAGGAATTTTTTAGAATATCGATATCTGCAATATTACGAAAGATAATGAATTTTTATTAGTCACGGAAAGGGTCCATATGTGGCATGGGCTCTGTACTTGAGGGGTTAAATGGGAGTGAAGATGTGATCTCTCTATCGAGAAATAATGTTTTAATTGGCTGGCCTTTTTTTCTTGATAATTCAAACAAAGCGTCAGACACAAAAATTTCATCAGTGTTTTTGTCTTCAAACATCCTGCATAATTTCAAAGAAATCAACGAACAAATCGTTCTCTCGCTCCTAGTTCGAAAGTGTTTTGTTAGGGATATGACTTGTCCGGGGGTGAATCAGCAAGTTCTCTATCAGTTCCTTCTTTCTCTGTTATAAAAAAAATAATCTCTCTATATTATAAAAATTCAAATCGACTTCTGGTGATGAAAATTCGCTACTCGAAATTAGGAATCCCAAATTGAAGGTCAGAAATGAAGGGTCAGCATAAGAGTCTAAATAAGGTTCATAGGTGTTAAAATAAGGCCCATGGAGATCATATGGGGGTCTCCGAACGGAGCGAGCAAGGGGCGTAACCCCTTAAAGTAGCTCTACCTTTCGGCTACGCTGTACTTTTGGATATTTTTACTTTTTAAATTTTTCAAATAAATTGCATGGAAAAAATTGAAAAAATTCATACCCAGTCAGTATTATCTAAATTAAATTTCGCAATGTATTGATATTTTTTCAAACATTTCCCTCTTATAAATAAATAATAAAACTTGTTGGCAAAACGGTGGATTATTTTTCATGAGGTGTCAAAAAAATTCTTGATTTTTTCACATCTAATAAAAACAAATTCAGATTTTAATCTTTGATTACAATGGAAATGCTGATTTTCACATAAGACACTGGGTTAAATCCTGATTTTTAAACATTTCTTCTTTGAAAAACCAAAACGATAATTAAATTGAGAAAAAAATTAGAATTCCGAATCTAATCGAGTTTTCTGCAATTTTTTTGCAGTTTTTAAGAATCTTGGAATTTACCGTAAGGGTAGAGCTACTTTAATAATAATAAAAAATTCCCAAGTTCCCTAAAGGACTAAACAACCACTGAGACGATTCTAGTTTCAAAATGAATCGGGTATTTCCCTCAACCTTCCCCGCAAACAAGTTATCGTGACAAGTTTTTCAAGGAAATTTTTAATCTTTCAAAACTCGATACTCTCATTCGTTTGCAGGGAAGGTTGAGGGAACTACTCGATCACTTTGAAGCCCTTGGGGTATTACTACTAATAATTTTGAAGGTCTCGGAGTATTATAACCGAATGTTTGAAAAATAACCACCTTTCTGTTATCCTTCATTTCGACTAATTTTTGACTAATTTTCAGGAACGAATGAAAGTAGGGAGGAAGAGCTACACCAAACGTCCATCCCCCAACTCAGCCAATTCCAACGAAGTCAAACAAGAGACGAAACCCACAGTGCCACGAAGAAGAAGAACGCGATGTAAGAAGTGTGAAGCTTGTACACGACAAGACTGTGGAGAGTGTGTTTACTGTCAAGACATGGTGAAATTCGGCGGTACTGGCAGAGCGAAACAGACCTGTGGGATGAGACAGTGTCTGAGACCGATGTTACCTGTGACTGCAGCCTGCAAAGTCTGTCAATTGGACGGCTGGGGCCAGCATCCAGCTCCACTTATGGGTAAATTGCATTAGTTTATTTAGTAGCGGAGGGGTAAAACCATTCCAATCTACTCAGCTCTTAGCTGAGTTTTCGGGGAATATCTCCCAATCAAAGGGAGATGGCGAAATTTTCGTAATGACAATTTTTATGGGGCGAATTGAGGGCTACAAAAAAGTTTATGACAAAAATTCTGCTGTTTGCCTTAGATTCCGAGATATTCATTGAAAACTAACGGATAATTAAAATCGAATTGAGCCATTTCATTAGTATTATAAGATGAAATTACTCAAAATGTTTCCAAACCTAATGATGATAGACAGATTTTCATGCAGTCCATAATTGCCAATTATACATTCATCTTAAAAACAAAGAAATTTTTTTGAATTGTAAATTCCCTAATCTTTAGAAAAAATAGTATAATTTTTCATTATCGACATGGTTCCATGATTAACTAGTCATATTCTTATAGACAATCCCTAATCTCTTATGAAGAGATATAGACTAGATTAGAACTATTTACAGATTGTTTAAGGCCCACGTGAGTGACCGGCTTTTTTTCCCCCCGAAAATATTTGCCGGAAAACATTCCCCCGTCAAAATTCCCCCGGAAAAATTTCCCCGTGGAAAAAAATCCCTCGTCTTAATATTCCCCCGGAATTATTTTCCCGTAATATTTTCCCCTGAAAATCTCCGGCAAAAAGGGAAAATGAACATATTATAATTTTTAACTTCACTGTTAATGTCGGAATGTATTCTCGTTACTTCTCCAAGATACACATGGTATTCCATTGTTCAGACGGATCTACTTTGAATATGTAGTTTGATAGAACAATATGATTGATTTAATTATAGGGATGAGAATTTGTATCGCATTATGTAGGGAACTTGTTTTGAAAACGTTGACTGTTAATTTTTCGGAAATGTAATTTATTCATTCATGATTGGTTGTTTGGAAATATGTTTCTTTTGAAATGGATTGTTTTGGTAGTATAAGATGATGTTTTGTTGTATGTTGTCAATGTTTTTTTATGAATCTGCCACTTTGTAGAACGAGAATGGTTGTTAATGAAGATTCATTGATTATTGGGGCAAGAGATTAATTCGATTTATTTGGGGGAATAGGTTCGAAATTATTGACGATTAATTTATTGCAGTAACGTAATTTATTTATTATTAATTTATTGAAAAAGTTGAATTCTCATCTGGCGTGTCTTTGAAGATTAAATAATTTAATAAATAAAATCGACATTGGTAATGTGTGTTTGTGTAATTGTTTTTTACATTCGTAAGGGGAAATAATTCCGGTAATTTGTTTCCGGAGGAATTTTTTCTGGGAAATTTTCTCCAGGGAATTTTCCGGAAAAATCCGGGGAAAAAATCCGGGAACCGCCCGCGTGTATTATCTATCGAACGTCATCTTGTATGTTTTTTTTCTTTATTCTGATAATCTGAAATGTTCTCCAATTGCCACTCAGTGTTACAAGGCCGTGGAATCTTCAAAAATTATCATTCTACAATAAAAAAATTTTAAATGATAAACGTTTTTACTAATTTTTAAAATCGAGCTATGCCACTTCACCCCAAATAATAAAATGAAATTAATTTCAGGTAAACCAACACCAGTGACCCCCTCCACCCTAATGGAATGCTCAATCTGCTTCGACATAGTCCACCCAGCCTGCGTGGGAATCGATCCCCAACGTCTCACCATCAACGAGGACATCCCCAACAGTTGGGAATGCCCCTCATGCTGTCAAAGTGGTCGCAACGTGGACCACCGTCCCCGTCCCCCCAAGAATCGTGTGCGAAAAATCTCCGTCTCCTCAGCAGCCTCATCAGCCCCCACAACAGACTCCGAACGCGCCACCACCCCCAGCAAAAGAGCAAGACCAGACCCAGCAGAGGTAGAACCCAAATTCTCCTCTCAAAGTCCTCTTGCCCATCTCCCGCCAGTCCTCCAAATAACCAATTAATTAATGTTTCCAGACCTGGAATGATCGTGAGGCAGCCGAGGGTGACCAAAGATCAGCTCTGAGAACCCAATTGGCAGCCCAATTAACAGGATCAAGTAACAAATCCCTGAAGCGTCCTGTAGTGGTAGTTAGACCCGTTCAAATTCCCCCAGTTCATATAACTGACAAGTCACCGGTTTATAACAAAATAGCACTGTTGGCGATATTCAAGTACTTATCACCCAAGGATCTAGCCAGTTGTGCTGTTGTCTGTCGTACCTGGGCTAGATACAGCATTGATCCCACTCTCTGGAGACGAATGGACATGTCTCATGCGCATTTAACAGCCTCACACTTGACTGGAATTGCTAGGAGACAGCCTGAAACTCTCTGCCTGGACTGGTCAAACGTGGCTAAGAGACAACTGGCTTGGCTGCTGGGCAGGCTCCCACAATTGAGATCTCTCTCGTTGAAGGGATGCACTTGGGCAGGTGTCTGTGCCCTGAGAACCTGCACCTGTCCACCTCTGGTGAGTCTCGATCTCTCTCATGTGTCTGGACTCAATGACTCCAGCCTCAGAGAGGTGCTCAGTCCACCCACCGACTCCAGACCTGGGCTGATTGACAAAACATCCAGGTTGAAGCATCTGAAGAATCTGTCGCTGGCTGGGTGTGACATCACTGATGTCGCCCTCAGGTACATCGCTCAGCATCTGCCACATCTTGAGATTCTTGATTTGAGCTCTTGTGGAAGGGTCACTGATGCTGGAGTTGCACAGATATCGACTCCTCCTGCTCTGGCAATCGCCAATCTTGTGAGTTTGAATTTATCCAATTGCCGACTGCTGACAGAGACCAGCTTGGAACATCTGACGAGGTGTGAGGCATTGAAGAGGCTCGATCTCAGGCACACTACCCAGGTTTCCACGCAGGGAGTCATCAGGTTTGCTGCTAGAAGTATTCATAATCTTCATGTGACGGATGTTAAACTTGTGGAGGAGAAGAAGGTCAAGGAGAGGGGGACGTGAGGGGGGAACTGGAGAAGGGGGAGGATGGGGTGCGTGTACCTGGGGAGGTATTGTAATTGCGAAGGGGTGGGAGGGGATGCGTTGAGGCTTGGGGAAATTGTTCTGGGGATGTCGGCGGATTTTTTGGGTTCGGAGGGAAATGTGAAGGGATTTTTTGGAGAGAATATCAAGAATTACGATAAGCGGGTCTTGAAGTTTTTGTTATATTGGAAAGTACTGGGGGTCCTAAAATTAATCTGATATATAGTGAGGGTTATTTGGAGACGAAAATGGTAATGGAATTTTTGTCTCTAGCGCTTTCTTGAGAGAAAATGGAACCCCAGTGTCTATATAAACTTTTAGAATTGTATTTTCTCCTACGATTATTAATTTTTATCGACGCAACTTCTTTATCGACTCGATCATTGCATTGTTGAGTCAGTGAAGTAGTTTCGTAAATAAAAAACAATAATTGCAGGAGAAAGAACAATTATAAAAGTTCATATAGACACAGGGATTCCGTTTCCTTTTAAGCAAAAAGCTACCGCAAATCGCCCTCTTTTTGAAAATTCATATCTGAAGAGATATGAAGGCTCACTTCGGCTGGAGAAATGAAAGTGATGGCAATCGATTGGGCATTTAATGCACAATAGTCTGAAAAAAATTATTCTTCTATCATCATCGGGTGAGAAACCCCGTAATAAATTTCAGGGCTGGGTAGCTTGGGGGGTTATTTGGAGACAAAAACCCTAATGAAATTTTTCTCTCCGGCGCTTCGTTAAGGGCAACGGAACCCCTGTATCTATATGAACTTTTAGAATTGTTTTCTCCTACGATTATTAATTTTTATCAATGAAACTTCTTTATCGACTCGATCATTGTATCGTTGAGTCAGTGAAGTAGTTTAGTAAATAAAGAATAATAATTGCAGCAAAAAGAACAATTGTATAATTTCATATAGATACAGGGGTTCTCTTTCCCCTTCAGGAGTTATGCGTTGACAAAGCAAAAATCCATTGCAAATCGCCCTCTTTTTGAAAATTCATATTTGAAGANTGTGTAGTTTATCGTCTAGATTTAATTTGAGAAGTGAAAGTTGAGGGTCCACGATCTCTCATATGTGGACGTCCGCACGAAAAGGGACCACTTTGTCGATTCTATTTTCCGAGATATTCACGTTTTTCTCTTGCCAACTCCCATTTAAACCCATGTTAAATTATTTTTTCGATTGTCTATAGCGTCGTCACTCTTTACGATATCAAGTTCATTTTTGGCTCTAAATTTGCAGAATCAGATCAAGATTATCGGCATATACATAACTCTAATAGTGCCAAAGTGGTCCCTTTTCATGCGGACGTCCACATATGAAGGCTCACTTCGGCTGGAGAAATGAAAGTGATGGCAATCGATTGAGTGTTTAATGCGCAATAATCTGAAAATAATTATTCTTTTATCATCGGGTGAGAAAACCCGCAAGGAATTTCAACGCTACGTCAACGTTGTGTGATTCCAACGCGCAATGTGACCCTAAAAATCAAAGTCAATGTAAAAAAATCATATCTCCACTCTCATTCGATATGGAGGAATAAGATTGATAGGAATCGATTAGATATTCAATGCTATCATCCCTCCGCCTTAGAGACGACTATGAGTTTTAAAAGTCGCGGGCTTTTCGAGTAAGATTTTTTATACACGGAAGATTGATTACATATGTCTAAAAACGAATCATTAGTGAAAAAGAAATTAACTGTTCATTGCTCCTTTGCGCCGCAGACGCTTATAAAATGTAAAATAGTCTACGGCATTCAATGTTTGAGCTACAGTCTTTTTTCAAAATTTTTGCACAATAACAATTACGTTTTGAAATTCGACTCCTACCCAGCTAATTTAGTTTTTTTAATATAAAAAATTGCCCCACTCACGTAAAAGAGCAGGAAAAAGGTTTCTGAAAGAATCAAGAATACATTTTGAATATTTGGAGAATGAATAGTGCAATTTTTTAAATAAAAAAAACGAAATTAGCTGTGTTACAGTCGAATTTCAAAAAGCTAATTCGTAATAAGGAACCTGCATGAATTTTTTTCCATTCTCTAATCTCAAGTTTGGGACCTGAATAATTCATTTTTTATTCACAAACGTTTGAAATATTGTTCATTAATTAATAATTAATTGCTAAAAGTTGAAGATTTCAAACGGTTTGAAATCGCTATTGACGTCATACAGACAGTCGAGTACTGGACCAATTAGAGAATGGCTCGAGTCGATATAACCCAATCTTGAGATGGGCCTCGGCCAATGGAGGACGACAACTCCCCACTCTCTTTACACTCGACCAATGAAGCGTTACCTGATCGTCTTCATGACTTCATGACCGAAAAATTGGCCTCGAAAACGGCTGATTTTCAATTAATTATTATAAGATATCTAGGTAATATTTCTCCGTAATTTTCGCCGTCTAACTATCCATATGTTACGAGGAATGTGTGAATAGGGGGATTAGAAAGAATTGAGCTTCATGCGAGTTCCCTATCGCTATTGTACACTTGTTTCAAAAATTTTGTTAAAAAAACCCTCTGTAGTTCAACAATTGGAGGCCCTGGACTATTTTTAACACTTCAAGCGTATGTGGGGCAAAGAAACAATGAACAATTATTTTTTTGCACTAATTATTAGTTTTAAGGCATATTTAATCGATCCTCAATGCATGATAAATCTCACTCCAATAGTCCGCGAATTTAAAAACTCACGGTAGTCTCCCCTTAAGGGGTAACAGAAGGCCACCGTTTCCTCGAAACATTCAAACAAATTTCCTGCTCAAAGTTATTAATATTTTTTGAACCCAAAGCACATTGAACTTCATCATCGCTCCCTGCAGATTAATGTGCTTGAATTTGTAAAAGTATCGATAACTTTCAGCAGGAAATTTGTTCGAAAATTTGGCAAATTAGGGACATTCTGTTACCCCTTAAATGGGAAAGGGGGTACGATCTCACTATCGAGGAATAGCCTTTGATTGGCGATTCTTTTTTTTAACCCATAAACAAACCGTCAGAGACAAAAACTTCATTGGTGTTTTTGTATCCAAATAACCCCTGAGCTACTCTCACGATATGTCAGATTCGTTTTGGACATCCTGTATTAGTTTCAGGTGTATCCGTAGAATAATCTGGAAATTTGTTTCAAGAAGATGAAAATTGATGCCAGGATGTTTGAAACCCTCGATTTAATCTTTGAATACGGCCTCTCCACATTTTTGATAAATCCCGGATAGAAAAATTTAATGAAAAATATGAGAAACATACTTTTGTAATCTTAAAGCATAATGGAAAATTGAGACATTTTGGGAGATTTGAAATAGCGTCATGTTGAAGAAACGTCCACGTATGAAGCATTGTGATACGTCTTAATGGCGGAAGTTATCTTTAATTTGTCTTCATTCTTACAAACGGAAGTTATCTCATATTTTTCATTCAAATTTCGTAATTCATTATCATCAGTTTATTCAGTAAGAAAATTTCAAGAAACCCAATTGTTGTGAGATTTGAAGACTCGCCTTCTAACATCACTTCGCTATAAATTGTATTTTATCGTGTGAAATATGATAAGATTTTAGTGTCCGATTAAGATATTTTGAATTATGTGATTGAGTGAATGAGATTTCTGTTTTAATTGAGGAAATTTGAGGGCTGAGGGGTTGTGCCTCGAGTTCTCAGGAGATTGATTTAATGACGAATCAAATGAGTAGAGATAATTCCTCATAGGTGATAAGCCATAGAAATTATACGCTTTTGTACATCGCAATGCACAAAAAATTCTGTTATTTATTGTATGATACATCCCACTGATGGAATTATGACATTTTAAATTTTCCTTTTCTTCATTGACATTTGCAGAGGCAGCTTAGTGTGCAATCCATAGAAATCAAGCATAATATCTTTCGTGATGAATTTATCAGAGCCATTTAGGGTTGTGTTATTGATATTTTCAGGTTTATGTTAAGGATACGTTTTGTCTTCCCACTCGCCCGTGGATTCTAATTTTTCTTTTTTTTCCATTTCAGTGAAGAAGGGATAGACCGATTCGAATTCGATTAGATCTTTGATAATTGTGGAATTGTCTGAACAATGAATAATTGAGAGCAATCATCAGGGGATTTTTCTGTAGCTGAAGAGATTGCTGACGAAAAAAAATTCCTGTTGATTTTTTTTTTACAGATAACTCACGGTCATAATTTTTTATTCAGCGCAATGTGAAAAATCAACTTCTCACGTCAACTTGAATCGTTCTATCACTTGCCTATTGATTTATACGAAGGAAAAATAGGGAAATTGAGGAGTATTTGACCCTTGATCTCAACCATGCGAGAAATTCTCAGAATTTTATTTTTTCATGAATTAGGATATTCGATAATTGGGGTCGTACATTGCATTATGAATGAATTCCACGTGGTATGATTATTTGTAATTATAATTCTTTAGAATAATAACAATCAACTATCTGTATAAAGCAGGATAGGAGGCACTGAGTCGATACGAGGGAAATTTTATTTTTAAAATTTTTCTTCTCAAACTCGTACGACTTGAAGAATATTTGTACATTTAGTTTTACAGATGAATACGTAGCACATATTTGAATTACTAGTACGTAAAGTGAATAAAGGAAAAGTTGTACTGACGAATTATTTTTTAATGTTGATTATTCAGAATATCCTGATGAATTTGCATTGCTTAGGCGTTATCATTCTTAGGAGTGGCACTAAGATATTCAATCTTTGATTCTACGAGAGATTTTTATCGAGAAGATTTCTTGTAGAGCAGAGTGAAGAGGGTTTTGTAAAACAATCCTCAGATATTCCTTGAAAGCTCTCATAGAGTAAAATTGGTATATAATGGATCTTTTTCTAGTGGTTTTTTCGATTTTATTGCGTACGAAAAGACATTTTAGTTGTGAGTCTTCATGAAATTTTATGTTTCGGAACATGTAGAAGACTATTTTTTGGTTTTCATAAGAAAAATATGCAA